ASGATATATAAAATTTAAAACAAGATCGAAATGGCATAAAATTACTCAWTAATTGAAAATCTGACGATAACGCCCTGATAACWTTATGAAATRTTTGAGTGATATTCCTCACGTTTTCTGCTCGATTGAATACATCRTGAAGGTCATTCTAGCCTAAAGTCATTCATTACTTACTCTTAAACAGCTGGAAAACAAATATTTATTGTTTTGAGTGTGCTAAACTCCCACTTAMTTCAGCAGGGCTCAGAGTACTCGAGATCGTATCAACCCGACTGTCGTCACCGCTAGTGAAAGCCTTTGTTCGTATGTACGTTCTTATTTCGTCAGCGTTATTTTAATTTTTCTAGTGATTTCATAGATAGATTAGTTACATTCGTTCGTAAAGCCGGTTCAGGTTCCACGATACCGAAGACTTTGACACACTATCAGTTCTATCGAAAAGACAAACCGATAGCCTTTTTGATATTTTATGCGATATTTTTATCGAAGAAATAAAAGTATGCACTTACAACAGGTTATCTATTTTTAATAGACGAGATAAGTAGCGATACTAGTGAGCTGCGCCGGTGTTTCCCTTTATTAAAACACTTGAGTTTTAAACAAAGATAAATTGTAAACCGCATGTAGAGAGAGCGGACGAACAATTCACCGTTATATGGTATTTAGACTTCGATACACGACAAAAATGTGAACTTACCGGTTTTAGAACCCTTTTGGCTTCCCGAAGAACAGTGGCCACATCTTGAACAGAACACAGTGTCAGAGTACAAACCACAACTGCAAACGAATTGTCTTCTATCGCTGACAAATCTTCTGCAAATCCTGTAATTACTTTTTTGATAGTCACATTAGGGAACTGACTGGCATTGCTCTTGAGGTATTTTTCCATGTGAGGGTTTGGGTCTAAAGCAGTAACAATACTTCCCTTCGGGAAGAATAAGAAGTTTGCTCCTGTTCCGGAACCTATTTCCAAAATATCTCCTTGAATGTTCTCCATCGTGGTTTTCATGGTAGAGAAGAGTTCTTTCTTTTTGTTCAGGACAGCACGGTTGTGAATTTTGCTGAACAAATTCATATGCACAGCAAAACCACGCTTGTAGAGGTCCGAACTTATAACAGAGTCACGAAACTTTGTCACCATTGCCAGGCTGATAATAAGAACAACAACTCCAATGACGATGAATATTTCCACCATCTTTTTTCTTTTTTCACTTTTCCAAGTAGAGTATTTGTAGCCAACAATTTCGTCCTCTGYCAAGAAAGAAAACGCGTCATACAATATTCACTGCGTATTCAAAAACAGAATCTAAAGGCTGACCTATTTGTTTTCGGCATAAACTAGCACTGCCAAGAGTAGGTGACACATGAATTAATTCGTAATAAAACCGTTTTTCACAGATGAGTCTTCTACAGTTCTGATGTTCCTGTCATGTTATTACAAGTGTGTACAGATTTACTTCAGTTCTATGTTTTGCTTGACCCTTTATGACTTACAGGCGACGTAATTAATACGGCCGAGTTATCCAGAGAATGATTACTACATCGTTACAAAGGGGTCCCCATGTAAAGGTCACTGAAGAAATGTTACCGTTTCATCGGATTCATTTGTAAAATGAAGCTTTTTCGATAGCGTAACGCGGGAAACCGCTAAAAAAATCGCGTTTGTGAAGAACCCWATCCTAAAGCTAAAATAGGTTATTTTTTGACCAAAAAACAATGGTTTCTGTGTTTCACAGCAGCATAACCACTCTTGCATGAAGGTTTGATTTCTGATAGGCTCAGCATCATCGTCAAAGGGTTAACGCGATTGTATGAAGTACTAAAGGTGCCAAAAAATAAGCCGATAAACGATATCCTCCTTCGTTCATGCGAAACTAAATTGTAAATTGATGATGAAGTTAAATTTCAATGAATTCTGTTACCATAATAAGCTTTTACTGAATCAAAATTTGCTAGATTAATAGAATCCTCAGTGTTTACTACATCAGCTGAGAAAWATTCAACAAAAAACAACTTGCTTTATTAAAATAAAATTAGTAATAAAGTGAACTGGAAATGTTAAACTTTCATTATTAGCTACTAGAATAATTGCGAAACGAGTTTAATCCGATAGATTCAACGGTAATGTTTATCGAACCTCTCTTTGGATAAAATACCGGACCCTTAGGCACTGGCTTAAAATAAAGCTATTAGCCAAATAAGATTGCTTACCAAAATATAGCAATGGCAGGGAAACCACAAATACCCTGCAGCAAATGTCTTGTGCAACCTCGATCACAAAGAGGTTARGTATTCTCAGTAAGATACGGGAAGTCAAAAATTGTCGAGTTAGATACAGTTCCAAGATGTACGTTCCAATCCTTCCGTTTTCTCAAATTGCTGTTCTTATAACGGCTAGTTTAGTAAACACATTGAAAATGCTTACGTACCGTAACAGTGAAGGCTTGGGAGTGGCTTTGTGCCATTGTTGGACCTTGGGCAACACACCTTTGTTTATTAAGTAATCGCAACAAAAGTGCCTATTTGAAGTATTTCAGTCATCGGCATGACTCCAGATGTTTCTAGAATTTCGCTTATCAAGATCAGAATAAAGCAACGCCGGGAACAATTTAGTTTAAAATATCTGGCGAAAAAGCAAAGGTCAAACAATATTCTCGGATGGCCTCGAAAACGGTCCTCCCTCTTGATGATGTAATCGATCAATCTGAATTTCAATCCGGTGTTGAAACGAATATTTGTCTATTGTGACAGAAGAAACTGGAGTCGCTTCAATTGTTTTGTTTGAAAATTCCAATAAAGTAGATAGTAGCAGCTACGTCACAGTCGGCCAAGCCTAAAATTAATCATTTCCTTAAATGACAAATAAGTTATGATAGAAGATTCTTTCGTCACTGTTTTTATCCATTTAATCATCAACAAAGGATTAATAGCGTCCTCCCTTTACGCGCCCCTGCTCGGCGATGACACCGCACCAAATTAGCTCTGTGYTAAGATGCAGGGTTTTTAACATACATTGAAGTGGTTCTCGCGTACTCAATTTCGTGGAATTAGGATCAACACAAAACGCATTAATTTCATCATGATATATCATTATCAGTATCTAACATGTCATTATGCAACTAGGCATCAGAAAACGTTTTCGGGGAGARCATCGAACGGTGATCATTCAACTCGGAGAGATTGCATGACCGAAAGGAACTATGGTTACGTTGTTTGACATTCAAAATTTCAACGTTTTGGGTTCACCTTGCATGAGAAATACAAAATGGTGAAGATTGATAGATCACCTTACATTATAAATAGTTATATCCCATCAATCTCTGTTCGACATTTTTTATTGCAATTGCCATTTTATCCGACAAYCTTTTTTGAAAGGTGTATATAATATAGGTTAATATAATCGTTCATGCAGCTCATTGTCAATTTGATGATGTGCACATAATTAATTTTACCCAACAAAACGTAGACTAATATGCAAGATTGAACTTTAGGACTCAACTAGGGTAAGTAWARATCATGTAACACAGGCATGAAGTACKCTTACGTAACGGCAGAAATGCCGATAACACTACAACAACGAAAGAGCGCAGAGAGGCATGGACAAACTGACATGCACACGAGCACAAGTTTTTGAACAAATATTTACTTAAATAATACGTGTCACATCAGTCAAATATTGATCATAAGCTATTTTTATCAACATCTCTTTCCTTTCCTATTACTAGAGGTTTCTATAACTTTTCCGTTAAATTGAAAGAACAAAAAGCAGCTGTTGTTTTTAATTTCAAATGGTATGATTAGCAGTACATGACAACTCTCATAGACAAAGATGGCTTACCGTTATGAGGTTTCCCCGTGTAAGAAATGTTGACGGCAGTAGCTTTATTTACTTGTATTTCTCAATCACACAATAATGAGATCTACGACAGTAATGCGAATTTGATATTTAGTCTCGATGAAATATGATGCTCTATGGTGCCCCAGTTAGATTGCTTCATTGTTTGTAATTARAAAAAAAGRTAAACAGGCTTAATGCACGAAACAAAACAACTCGGTTACTCCACAGCGAAGATCGTACATAATCATTTCTGGTAAGAATGAAATTTAGACCAGTTAATAAAGAAAAATTGTACAGGTTCCAAAAAAAGAAGAATGCTACTTCTTCTTGGCGAGGAAAATCAACGAGACCAGGGTTGAAGTAACTACGTTTCGAAGTTTTAGGTTAATTGAAAATTCAGATGTAAGCGCGAACCTTTGCRCGCATTATTCCTCTCGTGAAATAAAATTGCATGGCATATTGTGATTTTGCAATATCATGCCCCTTCCCGTATGTTAGAAATACTTAAAATCTTGTTTTTTTTGTTTGTTGTTGTTGTTGTTTTTTTGTATTTTTTTTTTTTTTTTCACTGCTTGATTTCCAATTGATCGTTTTCACCCATTCCTATGACAGCTATGAGATTCAAAAGAATATGAAAGACCGACGGCCATATTGGAGGAATGAGCAAGGGTTCTAATGAGAAATCCTTTGTTAAAGTTCCTCCAGGATGGCCGCTGTGACGTGGCATGGAAACTAAGAATGGTGGAATTCACCTTGAATCATCGCTGCGTTAAATAGCTCATACAGTAATACCAGATAGAAATTTGCTGCTCTTCACTTTAGCAATCTTTTCCAACATTCTCAAGATTTTACTATATCTATAATACTTTTGTAATTTCAACATCGAGCAATAGCGCTCGATGTTGCGTGATTGTACGCATAAAATCGTGAAACGATGCTCGACACAATCTACAGCAAAAACAAACAATGATGTCAAACAATAATCCAGTTTCGAATTCTCCAATACTCTGTGTTAGTCATTTGTGCGCAAAATATTCCTAATTGTGAGAGAAAAAAAGTGCTAGTAAGATTTCAAAATCAATTTTATTGTCTTTCTTCACAAATTCCATGCGTTTTCTCGGGCTATCAATAAAACAAAAGAATATGTTACTTGGTTTTGAGGCTAACACAGAGCAAACCAGAACTCGAAATTGGATTATTATAAATAGCATTTGTGTGAATTTAACGTGATCGCCATACGCATGACTTCTTTTGAACAGCTTGAAAATCTGTGATATGTATACAATACGTGATATGTTTTTACAGTGTCTTTGTTAACTTCACAATCCCTTGAGGGTGGCAGGTTAAACATTCTCAGCTGTTTATTCCATATGTACTTCTTTGTACATCATCTTTCAGTCCACGTAATTCTATTGTTCAATGCGAACAATGGTGAGAAAAATGGCACTTACAATGCTTTATTCTTTTTGCACTTGATGTCCTCACGTACAGCCGCTATTTTTCATTTCTTTTCTTTTTTTAATGGGATGCAATATTTTCAAATATACGCATGTACTCGAATAACTAGCGCTCTAAGTGATTCCACTMTAAATATTAAGGTCCAAACATTAATTGCATTGATTCATGCCTATTTTAACTATTTCCATTCCTATGAGCGTCTTTGGGTGCCATGGATTTGTAATAAACGATTCGTCATGCATAAGAAGTATAAATATTCGAAAAACTCAACATTTTTTAACTTACACAAATGTGGGCAAGAAATACAATATAATTTACCAACTTAAAATATACTCGTCATTTTATAAAAAATTACCAACATATAGACAAATTTAGTCCATTTTTATTCTACTTTTGATTATAGTATGTACATAGTATAGTCATATTTGTAAAAGCCAGTGATCTGCCTCTGAATAGATTACACACTGAATGCAGATCACTGGAATTAAACGCTAAATATTGTATACAGAGCTAAATAAACATTGGATATTACTATAATATCATGAATTATTAGTACACTGTAAAGTCATAATTAATCCTCATAGCACTAGAACGTCCATCACCACTGCTCTCTACATCTACAATTAATCATCACTGGGTTATCTGTTGAATCAGGTTGTTATAATGAATGTAAGGACCGCATGGCACTATATGGAAATATAGGAAAGTTAAGGACCAATTAGACGGCACAACTTTTGCTAAGTACACTATCGCATGAAACTTGTGTAAGCCTTACGACATGGCTACAACTGTCGTAGAGATAAAAACAATTGTTTGATAACTCTACGACAGTTGTAGCTAAACGTAAGGATGACTTACGCAAGTTGTATGCGATGGTTGTACTGTTGTAGGCAAAAGTTGTGCCGTCTAATTCGGCCTTTATAGTGCTAGGAAAAAGGTTTTCCGGGAGAAGACACTTGGAAATAATTTCGGAAAATTATTAATTTCTAACCTCGCTGGGATTCAAACCCACGACCCTCGGATTTCTACTACCGATGCTCTACCAGCTGAGCTACAAGGTCAGACTGGGAGCATGTCGTGGTGAAATAGATGTAAGGACCGCATGGCAGATACATGATATAGAAATAAAGGAAAGTTATAGTGCTAAAAGTATAGTTATGATTGAGTAATTCAGATACTGGTAAACTCGTGGAAATTCTTATCAATTTGTTTTGGCTTACAGCAAACAAAACATGTTTAAACATCAAAAAATGTAACTTTGTTATTTTCCTACCCTACCACAAAATATATAGTATACTATAATGACATTTTTAAATGTGCATAAAATTGCAATATATATTTTTATAAAACCGGTTGTTCATGCCAACTCAGTTGTTGTTATACCATACCATTTATCAAAACATCCATTAGGAATGCCTTTAGTAGTCATATAAACAAACTCTGTATAAATTCTCCCTTGAAGCAGCTCCATGAGCGTTTCAGAGTTTTCATTCTTCTCAGTTGGACACTGGATGATTACCGATTTGGAACAAGACATCCCGTGACTAATAATATCTTCAAACAATGCTTTCAATAACACTTGAGCAACTTCTGTGGAGTCTGCAAAAAGAGGTCCAACTCTGTAGCCTTCTTCATTTACATACAACACTCTTGCAGCAACATAACCAACAATAGCTCCTTCATCAGTGACAACCACCTTAGCGTGACGTCCCTTGGCATGGAGCCACTTTAATATGAAGTTGTTTCTTTGGTAGCCAAAAACGGCCGTGTCGTATCTTAAGAGGACTTCTTGGTCAACTTCATTGATATTTTTAACGCTCAAATCGGGGTTGAAGGTCATTGCTGTTAGTATTTCTAAAGCCTTTGATATATTGACGTCGTATCCTTTGCACATCCAGCGAAACTCAAAGCCGTATCGTGCGTACTTGTTTACCATTTCTGGAACACTGTATGCAGACACAATCTGTGACCAATCTACCTCACTCATGGCGGTGTTAAATAGCTTCATTCCATAGCCCTTTCCTTGGNAAACGTTAAACGTTTCAGCTTCTAACTGGAGATTGTGTTAAGTAATGTTTAAAGTCCGACAATGAGGACTGGACGGGGTTTCAAGTCCGCGCAATTAGTTCCAGTCCGAGGCGTTTATCTTCCAAGGGATCGCATCAGAAACTCGGTGGTGCAATGGTAAAAGACGGCGCATATAGACTGGACGGTAGGGGATCGAGTTGCGAGGGAGTCATGTATCAAAGACCTTTTTTCACTATTAAAGTTAATTCTATATTAAATTGATTATTTCTAATACTTTGATTATCATTAGCTAGTAGTAGAAAAAGCTAGGGAGTAACTGGAAGCAAAGTAGAAGTAACTGGAAACAAGGTAGAAGTAACTGGAAATGAGGTTGAAGTAACTGGAAACAAGTTGGAAGTAACTGGAAATAACATAAAATACAACGTAGGAGTACTTCCTCTTGTATCCAGTTACTGCACGTGGTACAATTTACAATCAGGGATTTGCTGGATACCTCATGAATTATTAATGAGGGGGGGGGGCACTTTTTTGACAAAAAAATATATAATTATATATATAAACTTTTTCAATCCTAAAAGAAAATATGACGGGACAAATGAACTTCTAAATTGGGCCCCCTCACTTTTTTGAACCCTGCTACGGGCCTTTTAGGGTTAGAAAAGGCACAAAAACACCAAAACGAGGCTACCAAGGCCTCAGCCAAGAATTCCATACAAATCCTGTATTTTTATTTATTTATAACTTAGTATTTGGTCCATAGCTTCAAAACTTTCGACGGATACTTATTTCAGATAGTTCTTCCATATAACAGTGCTGAATATTTCCATAACATTGTCAATTGTATGAAATCGATGGTAGGCACTTCTGAAAGTGGTCTATATAGATTTATAAACTGTTCAGTCAGCAGCTCAGTACTCGACTAATTTATAAATAGCTGCCATTTACTCGTCTTTCAGCTCAAAGGCCTCATCTGGACATCATCCAGTCCCAGGGGAGGGGGCGGGGAAAGCTCACTTATAAAGGTTGGTAGATATGCTCGACGGATGGATTGAAAATTAACCTAAAAGGTATGCATAAAATAATTTGACCATCCAGTGATGATGACGTGATGATCATTTCTACCAACATCCGTGTAAACAATTTCCTGTTTGTATCAATTCTTGTCAAAAACAAATCACACAAGCAGAGTTTAAAGTGTGATTATAGTAGTGATTATGATGATGTTTTCTGCTATTGACA